CTGATCTGGCCCTTAGGGCCCTTAATTTCTAAAATAAAGGCCTCAGATCACGCGTCTGGCCTGAAGTTCCTCGATATCAAATCCCGCTAGATCTATACGTTCGCGAGCTAGGGTCATCAATTCGACTAAGGCTCCCGGTGGCGCAGTTAACACCACCACCGCCGCCCTGATCGCCGGCCGGATCCGGCGAGCTTTCTCCTTGGACGCGGGGCCGCCCGTCTGCTTGGTGACAGATTTCATATGCGCCTTTTTCCGTCCTGAGAGGAGCTTTTGGTATTCCCGATTCCCTACGAGAAGCCTTGCGCCTTGATCCTCCTCTTCTCCTTCCTTCTGACAACAGTGGAACACAGCTCCTTCGTCCGTTTTGACTCTGACAATGAATATGGCCCTCCTCGCCCATATGGCCCTTCTCGCGATGATCGAAAAGGGAAGGAGCTTCTTCCCGGGAGCTGATGTCTTTTCTTTGCTCGTCCTCGTCGCGGTTTCTATGGCGCGCTATCGATCCCGGTCCTAGCTGTCTCGAGTTTGATCTCGTAACGGTCCAGAATCTTGGCCAGCACCCTCTCGATAGAGTTAGCGCCCTATCGAGAGAGTTCTCCTCGACGCTGACGATCGCGGCGGAAGGGCTCGATCTCCTAGCTCTGCGGTGCGGTTTTTTCGCTGCTTTGAGGGGAAGGGGAGGGGAGGCCAAAATCATCCTCTCCATCACGACGCCAGGCACGTCGTCTAATTTTTTCTCTTTACCGAGGATGGGAGGCCTGTGTACCTCAACCCCATCCACGCTAGGGATGTAGTTCCCAGCAGGCGAGAGGCCCTTTTTTTTCTGCGATCCTATATAAGGAGACTCGGTGTCCTCCCAAGAGAAGCCGTCACACTCCATGAGGAGTAGCTCTTTTTGAGTTTTATAAGCTCAAGTCGAACTTCCTCCTTGTCCTGCAGTCGTTATTGGTGAAGCCAGGTGATCTGCTCCCTTAGGTGGGTAATTTCTCTTTCATAACCCTTTTCGGGATTAGAGGCCCTTTTGCCCAAGACCTCCCATGTAGCTTTGAGCTTCATGACAATGTCCCAAAGGTGACAACACCCACAATCTTATCCTTGATATAGTAGACTAATGAGAGTCAGCAACGATAAACGGTGCAATTATTTAGTGAAGTATGTGGTAGTGACGCAATTATTTAATAAAGTACGAGATCTGTTAAAAAAGTATCGCGAATTTTGAATTTCCGCGGGTTACGTATATTCGATTTTCGATTTTTTGTGGCGTTATGTTGGTACTCATGTCTCTCACTTATGCCGACAAGTTCGGCCATTTTGAATGTTCAGTTAATTTTTGACAGCTGCTTTGCTTGCACGTGTTTTGGCTCGTCTTCGATTTTTGTCTATTCCAAAAAATGGATCAAAGAATCTGTATCAAATTTTGTGTGAAAAACAAAATTAAGTGCGCGGACGCATTCCGAATGTTGACTGTGGCATATGGTGAAGCTACCTTGGACCGAAGCAACGTTTATCGGTGGTACAAAATGTTCTCAGAGGGCCGAGAAGATGTGAACGACGAAGAGCGTGCCGGACGCCCGAGCACGTCAACAACAGACGAAAACATTGATGAAGTGAAGAAAATAGTATTGGCCAATCGTCGAATCACCGTTAGAGAGGTTGCTGAGGACCTAAACATATCGATTGGCTCGTGCCATTCGATTTTTACCAATGATTTGGGCATGAGACGGGTCGCCGCGAAATTCGTACCAAAATTGCTCAATTTCGACCAAAAACAGCATCGCATTAACATTGCTAAGGAGCTGTTGGACTCTGTCCGCGACGACCCAAATTTGCTCCAGAAGGTCATAACTGGTGACGAATCATGGGTTTATGGTTACGACGTAGAAACCAAAGCTCAATCATCCCAATGGAAGCTGCCGCACGAGCCAAGACCGAAAAAAGCGCGCCAAGTTCGGTCGAATGTGAAGGTTTTGCTTACAGTTTTCTTCGATTGCAGGGGCGTGGTGCATCATGAGTTCTTGCCACAGGGTAGAACGGTCAATAAGGAATATTACCTGCAAGTTATGCGCAATTTGCGCGAAGCAATCCGCCAGAAACGCCCGGATTTGTGGAAGAACAAAAATTGGCTTTTGCACCATGATAACGCCCCTGCTCACACATCGTTGCTTGTGCGCGAATTTTTGACCAAAAACAACACACTAATGATGCCGCAGCCACCGTATTCCCCAGATCTGGCCCCCTGTGACTTTTTCTTGTTCCCGAAACTGAAGAGGCCCATGAAAGGACGACGCTACGCTACGATTGAGGAGATAAAGACGGCATCGAAGGAGGAGCTGAACAAGATCACAAAAAATAATTTTTTGAAGTGCTTCGAGGATTGGAAAAAACGTTGGCACAAGTGTATAATATCTGATGGGGATTACTTTGAAGGGGACAAAATAGATATTCATGAATAAATAAATAATTTTTGAAAAAACACAAAATTCGCGATACTTTTTGAACAGACCTCGTATGTGATAGTGACGTATTTCACTTTTAATGGGGAGATATACAAACAAAACTTTGGGATCACCAATGGGATCATTCTTATCTGCTATTATAGTGATTTAGTTGTGTAAGACTTAGAGACTTAGAGAAAGCAATAGAAATGTTAGGCTTTCAATTGCCCTTTTACTTCAGATATGTTGATGATACCATGATGGCTGTCTCGTTGATATGATTGATTTTATTTTGACAACTTTTAATTCTTTTCATCTGAGATTGCAATTCACCTCGGAATTAGGCAATAGTATTAATTTTTTAGATGTAACCATTATTAGCAACAATAATAGTTTAGAGTTAGATTGTATCACAAATCAACATTCTCAGAATGGTATCTGAACTATTTATCTTTACATCCTATTTCTCATAAAAAAGGTGTTATAATGGGTATATTGGACAGAGCTATGTTACTCTCAGATCCAAAATTTTACTATAAAAGTATAAAGTTCATTATTTGTACATAACTGAATAATTACTATCCGGCAGAATTCGTTTTTGACACGATCAATAGTCGTCTAAAATATTGGTTTAACAAAAAATTTTTTAGTACTAATGTCCCAAATGACAATACAATTAGTGTATCTTGGTTTTTGTTACCATATATTGATTATCTCAGAGAAATTTTCATCAATTTGTAAAGACACCAACACAAAATTAGTGTTTTTCAGCGATAACAAATTAAATAGATTTATATAAAAGTACAAAAGGACGCTCTTCCAAAATTTGATAATAAAAATGTGGTCTATAAGATTTGTTATAAAAATTGGGATGCATCTTACGTTTGGACAAACAGGAAGCTTTCCAGCAGAATATCTGAATATCGTAGATATATTAATTGGAACACTGGCACTCATTCTGTAATTACTGAAAATCGTATTAAATTTTCACATAACTTTGATTGGGAGAACGTTTAAATTTTAGACAAGAAAAAATTTTTGGACAAAAGATTTATTTTGGAAATGGCATTCATACACATGCAAAAAATGGCCTTAATTTACATTCAAATACTGAAGGACTGCATCATACCTATGTATGCAGCGATGCTAGAAAATTTCTCCTGACTTATGTAGTAACCTATTTAGATTTATAGTTTATTAATTTAATTGACAAAAAGTTTTATTATATTAGTTGACGAAAATGTAACAATTTTAACAAAATATATTTTATATTGAATTTTTCCTTTTTCTTTTCCTTTTATTATGTAATTCTTTATTTTACAATTTTAATATTTTTTACAATTTTTAATTTCTATACAATATTTTATTGAGGTTCTTACCGGTTTGATTTAATAACAATTTACATGTGTTTTGTTCTTGATAATTCCAAATTTGTCTTAAAATTCATTGTGTGACCTCTTACTTCGAGAATAGTTCATATCTGAGTGACACGTCGTCGTACACGGATGTGTTTAAAAATGTGTATAAATCTTTATATTTGATTTTAATATTTCTATTTTTTAAGTTTAAATATGTTCAACAAAGCTTCATGACATGCTTCATGTTCCGTGATAGTAAGTCATTTAAATTGTTTACGCATCTATCACTCTGATAAGATTTTTTTCTAAAAATGTCAGATAAACAATGCTGCATCTTTGTCATTTTGCGAGTGACTTAAGCATTATGGACATATGAGCTAATTATACATTATTCTTGCTGAGGAGGACTCCAAAGAGAGTCAAAACGTTCAAAATAAAGAAGACATCAATCCAATATCTGATTATTGATTGTTCATTAAATAATTGCGCCGTTTATCGTTGCTGACTCTCATTAACCTACTATATTTATCTTTTTATATTGTTTAAAATTTGAGAGTTCTAATATAATTATTGTTATTGCTCACCCTTGATATTTTTTGATCTTTCGATCGATTTGACAATCACTTCGATCGCCGAAAACGCCTTTCCAGTAACCGCCTTGGAGGGTTTGTGGAAGTACTCCTCTGAGATCTCTACGGCTTCCTCTAACCTCCTAGCGTTCCTCCTAGACACGAACACTTTTGACGGCTACAAAAGCATCTTCTTTCATTTTCTGTTTTATTTCTGTATATTTTGATATAAAATATATTATAAGCTATGTAATTTTTTAGTAACGACAAAATAGAAATGAGAGAAAACATCGGGAATAAGAGAAATGCGAGGCGAGTAATTGGACGAGATAGAGGTGCAAGATAAGAGGTGAAAGAAGAAAGAAATTAGACAGAGGCGAAAGATGAGGGAGGACAGACAAGAAATTGAAGAGATACGAAACCAGATATTGGTGAAAGAGGAGAGACGACAGATGAAAAATGTGAAAGAAGCGAGAAAGAAAAAATGAGGTACAGATGAGAGAAGAAATTTAACTATAGAATTTAATTTTAAAATTATATCATTGTTAAAAATTAATAATTTCAGACACTTTATGTTTTATTTCTGTACATTTCTGTAAATAAAATGTATTGTAAACTATTTATTTTTTAGTAATGACGAAATAGGAATGAGAGTGGCGAGACAAGACATTAGTAAGAAGAAAAAGATTTAAAGCGACTGATGAGACGCGATAGATGCAAAAGCCGAGAGATAAGAGAAGGAAAAAGCTGAATAGAGCTGAAAGACGAAAGAGAAGATTCGAGAAACAGGAAACGAAACAGACGTATATAATTCAAGATACAGGTGAAAAGAGAAACTTTAACTTCGAAATTTAATCTTGAATTTAAATATTGTAGTTGGGGTCAAGCAATGAATAATTTGAGGCATTTTATGTTTTATTTTTGTACATTTTGATGTAAAATGTATTGTAAACTATTCATTTCTTAGTAATGACGTAAAAGAGTTGATATAAGCGAATCAAGAAATTGGAAGTAAAAGAGAGCCGCCAGACGAGATAGAAGCGAGAAATGAGAGAGGGAAAAATTGAGATAAAAGCGAAAGACAAGAGAGGAGAGATAAGAAACTAGAGAATGATATTGGTGAGAAAGCAGTGATGAAAGATGGAAAACGAGAAAGAGGCGAGATAGAGACAAAATGAGGTATAGGTGAGAGAAGTTCTAATTAAAAAATTTAATTTATAATTAAATTGTTATCAGAGAATTAATAATTTGAGACATTTTGTAAATGGTTTATATATTTTTGCATTTTATATAAATAAATAAATATCTTGCAAACTACTTATACTCTCTTTATACTTATTTATACGTCGCTCGGCGGCTCCCAGCATCAATAAAGAGCGAAGAACATTCTAAATAATATATAAGTTTTAATAAATTGCAGTAATAGTATACCAATCTCATTAATCCAGAATAGTATAAATCATGTTAAAACGCAATAGTTTAGGAGATATTAAATTGTTTACGATTTTTTATGCGCGTTATATTATATATCTCCTTCATAAACTCGAGTAGTAAGAATAGTTCAGAAGTAGAATTACTGGGAAAAAATTATAAACCAGCATTTCTCTTCACGAAAATCTTCGAAAGACTATCAGAAAAGAAATACGTATATTTGAGATTCGAGACTTGTAGAAAATATGCGAAAAAAATCGAATAGTGCAAAAAGCACGTTTTTTTGCTTATGAAACGAAAGATATTGATTGTATGGAAAAAGATTTGGTAAATAAAAAATGTAGATATTTGAAATATCTATAAAATGTGGAACATTAAAATCGATCTATTAATTAAGTAGAAAAAAATTAAAAAACACCAAAAAAGATCTTTTTTTTTCACTCGCTCTCTGTTCATTGAGATTTAAAAACACAAAGCGTCTTTGAAATTCTTGTAAAATGTAGCCCTCGTAAAGTCAAACAAATCTAACCCTGAACGAGCCTGAAATATTCATTAGTTTTTGCAAAAAAACCATTTGTTTACTAAAAACCTGTCTGCGGTAAACTTAATTTCTTCATCTTTGAGCAGTCGTACAGCAATTTACAGGGGTGATTTTTCTTCTTCTAGAGTTGCACTATCACGTATATTTAATAACAAAACAATTCTTTGCGGTTAATCAATTATAAAATAACTTCGAAAAGTGGTTATCTTTTTTTTATATAAAAAATGGAATAATTCTGTTAATATGGATCATATTAAATAACCGTATTCAACATTTTTAGCTGACATTTTTTTACGAACTTAAAAAAATGGTTACCCTTCGATTAGGAGCCGAGATAACAATTTTTTTTTCAAAAAATTACTGTAGTTCTAATTTTTAAGATTAAGAATTCTATCTAGCACCAAGGAAGAATTAAATTTGCTGTTAAAAAATTCTTGAAATTTTTGCTACCGAAAAAGTTTGTTTAAAAGTTTGTTTTGAAAGTTGAGGGACACGAGGGTGGCAGCGCGCCGAGTGGAATGAAGAAGATCGGGCGACTTGCGTGTATCTGATTTCGTGCGTTAAATTTGCTAAATTTACATTTTGTCAGCAATAAATTGACGTAGAAACAGGATTTTTTTTAATTTGGGGTAGCTCAACGAGATATAAACAAATAGCTTAGCCAAATGTTTGGCAAAGTAATTGTAACCACGAAATTTTTAATTTTGCTTTTTTTAAATTTTTATTTTTTTGTTTATTACTAAAAAATCATGTTTAGATATGGAGTGCATGTCTCATTAACAAATTTAAGTTACATGAGCTATGTTTCTTTATATATAATATGCTGTAAAAAGTTCAACTGGACAATTGTACGAAATTATCAGTATAAAATTTTTTTTATGAATTTAATTGCAGATGCAAATTTGACATATGTAAACAAATAATTAATAAGTAATTTATCAAATGTTAGCGATTGCAATTCACACTCACGTGACGCAATTTCATCGCGCGTTCGCAGCCAATATTCTCTCTTACAATCAGCTTGCGTGTGACTTCAAAAGAAACGCGACAGAAAGGTGTCTTCACGCGGCCACTCTTAAGGGCAACGCAAAATTTCAAAACCGATAGTTGGGCGCCAGGCACGAGTGAGCGTGTTACTCTTTATCGAAATTATTCGGGATATTTTCCTTGCGATTCCACCGAGCTGCGAACGTACACGTAACTCGTAACTCAGCCTCGGGAATGGCAGAGGGGGCGGTTCGTGATCGAGGATAGAGGATCGTTTGGAAAAGCGAATGGGCGACGGCAATGAACCACACAATAATTAGTAATAATAAAAGTAACAAATATATTTGATTAATCTCCGACTTTTGTTCATACTTGTTGACAAGATCCCGGCGACAGTATTCAATCGAAATCGCGTTATTTTGATAGTTGAGATAGAAGACGGTTACGGTATTATTACAAACACGGCGCGACCTCGTGCTCGTCCATAGGGCTTCGAACCGTTTTATAGAAAGTCGGAAAAAGATAGAGAAAGGAGACGCAGACACCACGATACAAAGTTCCGATACAACAATGCAACTCGATACGCGACAAGACTTAACGACAATGACTAGGCTGTGGTTTAAGCGAACGCGGAAAATAACTCTCCCGAAAATCTTATAACGCGCGCGCGCGAGTCGTCGCCGGAAGCGACACGCTTAGACGCAAATATCGCAAAAAACCTAATGCACGACACTTCCGCGTGTGTCTCACATACCAAATCCAACAATGATAATTGCACACGTCTCCCGGAAATTAACGACCTTACACTTTCGTGGCGCTCGTCTCACCCCGTTGACTCTCTGCTCGGCACTCGGCTCGCGATATCAGACCCTGGTTGTCCTGCGTCCCTCAATAATGTTCCTCGCTCGCTCGCCACAGCACAAGTGCCGGGCGCTGATTTTCCCGAGGGTACGCAATGATCGCTATTTCCACAAATGGGCCTTATCGCGTCTAATTAGCGCGTGGCCCTGCGGCTCCGCGAATCGTGAAAGCCGTGTCACTCACGTATTCTGGTGTGCGGAATTCGACTGGATCGCAGGGTTTTCTTCGGCCGCTTAGGAGACTCCCGGATCTTCGTCTTACGGGGGACTCGCATCTCGGTGTCGGCATCCCTGTAGTCGATGCCTCCGCTTTCGACCTTGGTTCCGATTCCTCAAGTGAGGTCTCCGCAG